CCAGGAGTTGCATCTGAAACTTGTGTGTTTCTCTTGACAGAAATTCCCCTTCCGACTTCCACGCCCGGGCTCTGGACTGCGCCAATCCAGTCGGCGATCCCGACGTCCTCCAGACGGTGTTCGATGTCCCGGGCTGTACGCTGAATCCACTCAACCCATGCCTCGAAATGCGCCTCTTTGTCCGCTCCATCAGAACTGCACTACGACGAATTGTCACGATCGTGCGTGTTCCTCCTCCTCCCCCCAGACCCCAGAACTAGGCGTAGCGTTTGGCGTTGGTTCTTCAACAACCTCCTCTCCATGTCGGCCGTCAGCGTCCAGCAGGCTGCGCCGTATGGTGCGTACGGAATGACCAAGGAGTCGAACAGCCGCAGCCCCGAACGGAGTGGACAACTTGCATTCGTGAATTCATCCTTGCACCCTCAGGGCCCGTTTCTTTCTGGACCCGCTTCCCCCATGGCGAATATTGTCACAGTGGAGCTCGACAGGGATGAACCTCAACAATATTTTTCGTGTTCGTTTTGGTTTCGTTTTCCCTAGTTTGTTTTCAATCCGACTTTGCTGCACAACGAGATCGAAACGACAACGGCCCACGAAATCGCCAAAACACCGTTGAGGTCCACCCCTGGAGCTCGAACCCTCTTGACAGGGAGGACAAGAGCCGGGGAGGGATGGGGAGAAGAAACTGATGTGGGAGGGGCGGAGGCAGGCTGAATGCAGAAAAGAGGAGCTGCGAGAGAAGGAGAGGACACACACACACAACGAGAGAGGCATGTGTATAGAAGTGTATAAGTATGTATGCATGCATGTATGTATGTATGCATGCATGCATGCATGCATGCATGGATGGATGGGTGGATGGATCTATGGATGTATGGATGTATGGATGTATGGATGTATGGATGTATGCATGGATGTATGGATGTATGTATGTATGGATGTATGGATGTATGTATGCATGTATGTGTATATGTGTATGCATGCATGTATGTATGCATGTATGCATGTATGTATGTAGGTAGGTAGGTAGGTAGGCAGGCAGGCAGGCAGGCAGGCAGGCAGGTATGTGTGTAGTCATGTATGTATGTATGTATGTACGTACGCATGTATGGATGTACATGTGTGCATGTACATGTAATTGTACATGTAATTGTACATGTCCATGAACATGTACCTGTACATGGACATGTATGTGTATGCAAGCGTGTATGCATGTATGTATGTATGTATGTATGCATGTATACATGGACCGGTGCATGTATATACATATATATATATATATGTATACAGGATGTGTACAACGTGCGAGAGAGAGAGAGAGAGAGCAACACAACAGAAGATGACGATAATGGGGAGATGGGGAGGCGGACACGAAGGGGGAAGGGAGGGACGGGAGGAGGAAAGGGTGCAATTGCGATCGGTGCTGCGTGGGATTTGGATAAGAATTGTAACCAACACGCCGAATAGGGAAGAAGAATACGGATTTCCGTTGCGGGTGGAGAAGTGGCGGTAATCGAAGCGAACTGGCGAGCTGGTACGAGTATGAGTATTGTTGTTGCCACAGGTGCTACTAAGAAGAATACCATGTTTAGTGCCATTCTTATACAATTATCAGGGTAAGGGGGCCGAACGGTCATTTACTTTCCCGGGGTGCGTGGCTGAATAGGGAACTCGTGGTGAGAGTTCTGTTTGTTGCGTTGTTGTTGCTGTTGTTGTAGCTGTTTTCGTTGTAACTGTTGTTGTTGCTGTTGTTGTTGCTGCTGTTGTTGTGCTTGTTGTTGTGCTTGTTGTTGTGGTTGTTGTTGTGGTTGTTGTTGATTGTTGGTTGTTGTTGTTGTGGTTGTTGTTGTTATTATTGTTGTTTGTTGTCGTTGTCCGTTGTCCCACCCGCGACCCATCCAGGACCCACCCCGCGACCCACCCCGCGACCCACCCGCGACCCAACCCGCGACCACCCCGCGACCCATCCCGCGACCCACCCGCGACCCACCCGCGACCCACCCGCGATCCACCCCGCAACCCACCCGCGACCCACCCCGCGACCCATCCACCCGCCCGCGACCCACACCGCGACCCACCCTCAAGACAGAAAAAACCAGCCGGACCCGACAATTCTAAACGGCCCCGGGCGTTTACTAATCACCCTGCCCTGTTCGATTCATCCCTTGTGTGCGGTTGCTGCACGGCTTCGCTTGTCGAGGTGATTATTATGGGGTGGATCTTCTGCCCTCTACACCCGCGACCCACCCGCGACCCAACAACGACCCACCCGCGACCCATTTGCGACCCACCCGCCACCCACCCGCGACCTACCCACATCGGTTTAACGAAAACATCGGCGCCTGCGGCGGGCTCGTTGTTCAATGTGTGAAACGTTCGCGCCTGCGGCGGGCTTCTCCAGAGTCTCGCAGACTGCCGACGTCCCCGCCGCCCCCTCACCCGTACCCGCATCTGCGGGGTGCTACGTTATGTTAAACAACAACATCATATAGATATATACACACGTGCATCATAGCGTATATGTAGCAGGAGGGGCGCCTCGCGCTCGTCGGCCAAGGCCAACTCGGTCCAGCGGCCGCCTCGGGAATGTGGGCCGCCAGCCGAGACAGGATGCGTGGAGAAGCGCTGCTCCTCCTCCCGCCTTCCTCCCACCCAGAACCTCCTGTTCCTGTCTCCCCTGCTTCTGCTGGTTATTCTGCTTCTCCTGCTTTTCCTCCTGCTTTTCCTGCTTCTCCTCCTGCTTCTCCTCCTCCTCCTCCTCCTCCTCCTCCTCCTCCTCCTCCTCCTCCTCCTCCTCCCCCTCTCCCACTTATGCCTCACCCTGCTCCTCCTCCTGATCGACTTGGACCTCCTCCTCCTCCTCCTCCTCCTCCTCCTCCTCCATATCATCATCATCATCATCATCATCATCATCATCATCATCATCATCATCATCATCATCATCATCATCATCATCATCATCTCATCATCATCATCATCATCATCATCATCATCATCATCATCATCATCATCATCATCATCATCATCATCATCATCATCATCATCATCATCATCCGACCCACGCCTCCTGCTGCTTGTCCTCCTCCTGCTCCTCCTCCCCGCTTATGCCTCCTCCTGATCCTCTTGGTCCTCTTGGTCCTCCTCTTTGCCCTCTCCTTCGTTGGATGCTGCCATCTCTCTCTCTCTCTTTCTTTCTCTCCGTCTCTCTCTCTCTCTCTCTCTTTCTCTTTATCCCCCACTTCGGGAGGCAACCGTTGCCGCAGACACGAAGACGCCACGAGGCGCGCCAGTCGGGATACAGGGGGGACCTCGACTGCGCTAGGGTCGGCGTGCCAATCCCCAACGTGCCTAGATCAGGCCCGACCGTGCGCGCAGGTGCGTGCACACTGGGAGGAGATACGACACCGGCACTGTAACATAGACGTTGAGAGGTCCACCTTCTCTTCCTTCTTCTCCTCCTCCTCCTCCTTTTCCTCCTCCTCCTCCTCCTCTCCTCCTCCTCCTCCTCCTCCCCCTCCCCCCTCTACTTCCTCTTGCCCCTTCCCCCGCCTGGTCCAATTCATTGGATCGGCTCTAGGCCCCCCTCCGCCACACCGATGTGCCCTCGCGCTGCTTTATTGCCAGCCCCTCAAAAATCCAGAGGCGGACCTCCGAAGCGATGATGTCTTGGCGCACGGTCCTGTCCCTCTGTAGGCGCCTGCTCCCCCCTTCTCCCTCGCGCCCCTCCCCGCGCGCCAGGGGCGGCGCCAGAGGCGCCGCCAAGTGGGTCCCGCGACGACCCGAGAAATCGCGGTGCGGACCCGCGAAAGCTCAGGCCCATACAGCTGCTCCTCCCCCCGAGCGCAGGCGACCCACCTGCCGCTCTGGGCAGGCGCGCTCCGCCACCTGCAACGAGAAGCTGCCCGCAGGTGGCCTGAACTCGCCACGGGGGGACCTGCGAGAGCTGCCATCGAGGCGAGTATGCGCTCTCCTGACGTTTGGCGAGTGTGCTTTTTGACGAGCAGGGACGGGCGAGCGCTACCGCAAGCGCCCCGAAGAGGCGCCCGACTCAGTCGGGCACCCTGGGGAGCTGCGCGATACGCCGCGCCGCCACTTGCGGAGGCCTGCACGGATTTCTGGGATCCGCGGTGGCCCCCCCCAAGCGCCTCCAGCGCCGCTGCTGGCGCGCCCCGAGCGCCAGGCAGGGGGGGGGAGGTCCAGCGAGGCTCCGGTCGAAAGGAGTCTGCGCAGATCTCCCAAATATTGCTGCCGTGCAGGTTTTCTCTCCTCCTCCTCCTCCTCCTCCTCCTGCTCCTCCTCCTCCCCGACCTCCTTTCGCTGGCCTGGACGCCTAGACGAGTGCGGAGTTCACTCGGAGGAGGCCATCCCGAGGAAGACGGAGGCTGCAGTGGCCTCCATGGGGCTGAACCTCGGGACCTCTTCTTCCTCCTCCTCCTCCTGCTCCTCCTCCTCCTGCTCCTCCTCCTCCTCCTCCTCCTCTTCCTCCCCGACCTCCTTTCGCTGGCCTGGACGCCTAGACGAGTGCGGAGCTCACTCGGAGGCGGCCATCCCGAGGAAGACGGAGGCTGCAGTGGCCTCCATGGGGCTGAACCTCGGGACCTCCTCTTCCTCCTCCTCCTCCTCCTCCTCCTCCTCCTGCTCCTCCCTCCTGCCCTCCTCCTCTCCTCCTCCTGCTCCTCCTGCTCCTCACTCCCTCCTCCTCCTCCTTCCTGGGTCCTCCTCCTGCTTCTCATCCTCCCCTCCCTCCTCCTCCTTTCCTCCTCTCCTCCTCCTCCTCCTCCTCCTCATCCTCCTCCTGCTCCTCCTCCTCCTGCTCCTCCTCCTCCTCGGCACCTCTCCCTGCTACACCACTGCCCGACCCTACTCCTGAGCTTGCGGCGCAGGTCGAGGCCGGGCGACAGGCAGCCCGGCACCGCGGAGCCCTGCGCTGGGCCGCACCGGAGGGTGTGCTTCTCCCCGCCGAGTGATGGGGGGTCCTCTCGATTGTTGGGCGTGGCTTAATGGGGGGGTCACAAATGGGGGGGTCAGAAAAGGTCCCCTTTCGTGCCCCTTTCGGGCCCCTCCGGAGCCCCAGGGGGCTCGTTTAGGTAACGTTTGGGTACCTTTTCGGACCACCCTCGCCACTCCCCCATTTATGACCCCCCTATTACGCAACGCCCAAGATTGGCAGTCTCTGTCGTTCACCGGCTGACGATGCGCCTCTACAGCGCTCCAGCGCGAGGCGGGGAGTTATCCATCTCCACCGCCTGGGAGCCGACGTCCTGGTGCCCCAGCGGGCGGCGGATGTGGATCCGGTTCGGCCCCCGGGGGGCCAGAAGATGTCCATGTACAACCGCCTGCCGGGGCTCCGAGCACCGACCCTCCAGGCGGTGGATGTGGGTAAGTTCCCGCCTCGGATCCAGTGCTCCTCCCCTCAGAGGAGGAGGAGGACCTGTCACCATCTCCTCGACCTCCTCCTCCTCCTCCTCCTCCTCCCTCCTCCCTCCTCCTCCTCCTCCTCTCCTCCTCCTCCTCCTCCTCCTCCTCCTCCTCCTCCTCCTCCCCCTCCTCCTCCTCCTCCTCAGAGGAGGAGGACCTGTCACCATCTCCTCGAACTGCGCGCCCGCGATCTCGTGCTGCAACACGTGGCTCGCCAGGGCCCGTCTCGTGTCCTGGCGGCGAGCGCGTCCGAGGCCGAGGACCGCTCGAGATCGAGGGGGGTCGAGGATCGTGGAGGTAACTCACGGGGCCCAAGAACACACGCACACACATAAATACACACAAATAGCCCGATTCACGTATATTTTCTGGGTGGTTGTCTTCCCCCCACCTCCCATACTTTCCCATATATCTTCTGGGGAATCAACGATTAATTGTGTCTGTGTGTTTTTATTCCTCCCGAGTAACGAAAAAGGGAGACCTTGGCCAAAGCTGAACGCGGAAACGTCGGTGTCGATCTTGGTCATCGCCCACCTCGGTCACCGTCACCTCGTGGACCATCCCCGCGGATAGGCGACGGCCCGCACGGACCACGACCGGGGTTTGCGCCGACAAGATCCCGTGACATCTTGGTCATGGTCATCGCGTTTCTTCCCTCGAGCTCACGTGCTCGCCCTCACCCAGGCACGTTGAGACGAACACAAGATCAGGACCGAACGCTCGGAGAGCGTGCTGGCAACGCTCTGGAGCGATCTATCCTCATTCTGGCCATGCCCGATGATCGCCTCGTCGCGACGGCTGGATCCGCCCAGTGGACCCCTCGCCACCCATCGGCCTCCGGCAGTCTCTGGCGGCCTCTGGAGGTCTTAAGAAGAAGAAGAAGACACTGAAACCTAGACACAAGATCCTAAAGGTCGGCGCGAATTTCTCGGATCGGCGCTGCCCCCCCCCCCCCCCGAATGGCACGCTGAGGGTGCCAAGGGCGGCGACGTAGGCGTCGCTGGGGGGACTCAGCGCAGATCCAAGAAGTCCGCGCGTACCTTTGAAAGTTCATGCTTGCGAGATAGCCTCTTCTTCGAATCTTTGCCGCCCACTGGCGGTCTCCCACCACGGCCCAAATCCGCTCGAAATCCTTCGTCTGGGACCCCTTCCCCTCCCCCTTCCCCTTCCCTCCTGCTCCTCCTCCTCCTCCTCCTCCTCCTCCTCCTCCTCCTCCTCCTCCTTCCTCCTCCTCCTCCTCTCGAATTTCCTCTCCGACGCGCTCCCCGAGGCGAACCGGCCGTGGCGACGAGGGGCCTCCCGGAGGCAGAGACAGGGCGACGGAACCCGGGAAGGGGTCGCCGACGCCTCGCCTGGCCCTCCTCCGCCCCCACCGCGTGCGCCGCGCACAGGCTGCGAGCCACGACGAACTTCGCACCCTCGGGGGTGGCCCCAACCCCGGGGGGCCCAGAATCAAGTCGATGAGTCGCACCGGCGATCGACCTGAATCGAACCGGCGGACATCGGCGGCCAAGTCGGGAGGAGTCGCATCGGCGGAACCCGGCAAACTGGTAAGTAGGCCTCCAGGGAGGCATCGGAATCCACATCGGAACTCGAGGCCGAATCGACTCGGAACCAAGAAGCCATCGACATCGAATCGAATCGGCGGCATCGAAATGTCAAGTCGGGCCTGTCCCCCCCTAGATGCCGATGTTGGACGAAACAAAAGAAATAGTCAAAACATACCCTAAAAGACTCAAACATGGTAAAACAAATCGTCCCAATATTATGTTTTGACGATTTGGGAATCTTCCTCCTGCAGAGGGACAGGCCCGACTTTCTTGAAACGAGCCCCGACGGGGTGCGGAGATCTTCTGACCCGGGTCAATCCAAACCCGGGTCAGTCAGGCCCTGCAGGATCCTGCAGGATCCTGCAGGATCCTGCAAGCTCCTGCGCCCAAGCCCGGATCAATGCGCAGGATGCTGCACGATCCTGCACACAAGCCCGGGTCAGTGCGACCCTGCAGGATCGGGCGCTCTGGCTGACCCCCGTTTGCGCTGACCTCCGTCTGAAGTAGGGGAACAAACAAAAAGGCATAAACATAAAAAACTCGGAGGTCCGCGCGGATTTCTCGGATCCGCGCTGGACCCTCCTGGCGGCGCCTCCGGCGCCGCCCCTGGCGCGCTCCGCGCGCCAGGAAAGGGGTCCAGCGCCGATCCGAGAAATCCGCGCGGACCTCAGAGTTTTTATGTTTATGTCATTTGTTGTTCCTAGGAGGCAAACGAACCTACCTCGCTTTTGACCACCCTCGCTTCCAAAAGATACCAAACGACACCAGGCTACGGCCCGCACCGGTCAGGCCGCTTGGCCAGGAGGCGCGTGGTATGACGTGGTTTTGTCTGGAAGCGAAAGCGGGGTAGGTATAATTCACGCTCTGAGTCCCCCTAGCTCTGGCTGACCCCCCCCGTTTGCACTGACCTCCATCTCGAGGCTCCCGAGGGGTGCGGGCGCGGCCGCGCGCCGGGGTCCTGTGGCACCTTGCTGCTCGGCAGCGTCCGCAGCCAGCCCGCAACTGCGCCCGCCCAGGCCGCCCCCGGGGGGGGGGGGGGACGGGACGAAGGCGAGGCTCGGGCGAGGGCCGGGAGAGGAACGGCGCCCAGTGAGGAGGAGGAGGAGGAGGGGAGGAGGAGGAGGAGGAGGAGGAGGAGGAGGAGGAGGAGGAGGAGCTGAGCAGGAGGAGCAGGAGGAGCAGGAGGAGCAGGAGGAGCAGGAGGAGGAGGAGGAGGAGGAGAAGGGGAAGGAGGGGGAGGGGGAGGGGGCGCCCAGAATCTAATCGATAGCTCGGAGCGGCGATCGAATCGAAGCGGATCGGCGCGAATCGGCACTCGAGTCGGGAAGGGTCGGATCGGCGGAAATCGGAAGGCCAATCTGCCTCCGACGAGACATCCGAACCCAAGCCGGAATCCCGGGTCGAATCGAATCATAATCGGAAGCCGTCGAGATCGAACCGGATCGAATCGGCAAAAGGGACACGAGCCCCGGAGGGAGGGAGGGAGACGCGCCGGACGATCCCTGAGAGCCTGGCGTCTCGTGGTGCTTCGCGCCAAGCGTCTGCGCCGCGCCCGGGGGCTCTCACAGGTCGATGCGGCCGCCCAGAAGTCTTCTTCCGATTCGATCCGGTTCGATCTCGACGGCTTCGGTCCCGACTCCATTCGACTCGGGAACCCGGCTTGGGCTCTGATGTCTCGTCGGAGGCAGACCGGCCTGCCGATCTCCGCCGATCTGCTTCGATCCGATCGCCGCTCCGACGCTTCGCGAAGAGTTTCGTTCGCGGCGCCGGCTCTTTGCGGGAGAGCCGTCCCTCGGAGGCCGAGGGGCGGCGGTGCAGGCCCACGCCCCGCGCCTCCCGAAGCGTGCACAGGGCGTCCCCCGATACGCCCAGCCCAAGAACTCGGCGTGGTTTTTTTTGCTCGATCGTCCAAAATGGTCCTCGATGGTCCTCGCCGAGAATAAAACGCACACGTCCGAGCGATGCCAAGAGAGAGCCCTGAGAGGATGGAGCCCAGAAGAGTACGGAGGGTCTGTCGCCATGCACTGTTCTACTGCACACCCACACAGCACGATCGCGTGCATGCACGTGCAGAGCTGCACTGCAAACATCTGTTCCACACACACATACACACATTCACACACACACACACACACACACCGCTCCTCCCCGCACCCTCGCGCAGGAAGGGGGAGAGCAGTCGGAGGAAGAGGGGGGGCGGAAGACCAGGCGGAGGGGGATCCTCGAAAGGTCTTGCCCCCAGGCCTCCGTCGTGTTTTCACAGCGTGGCTGCCCAGGGGGCCAGCTTGCTCTTTTCATCCTGGGCCGTTTTGTGGTAGGGTCGGACCTGGGCCAGAAGAACATCCTCTTCAAGAACACGAGACCCTCCGTCAGCCAAAACAGACAGACAATCCGAGGTCATAACCTCCCCCAGGATGCACAAGAGCATCCAACAAGCGCGAAGAACAGTAGCGAACCCTCCCCGAATCGACCTCGATCAGGGGCCCAGAGAGAGAGAGAGAGAGAGACATATACACACACAGACACACACGCACGCACACGCACACGCACACACACAAATAGATAGACACAACTCCCAGGATGCCCCAGATGTTTCATATTTTCTGAATGTTCGCCTTCCCCTTCACCTCCCGCATGCTCCATCTTTTCCTTGGAATCGACGAGTCGTTACGTCTGTGTGTCTTTCCCCCCCTGAGCGGAGGAGGCCAGGGTCACGCAGTGCTCTTCTTTGAGGAAGCTGAAGAACGGAGAAGAGCAATAGTGATAAGGAACATAAGAAACCACAGGAAGATAAACCTTAGGAGGCCCGCCCGGATTTCTTGGATCGGCGCTGAACCAGCCTCCCTGAGGAGCAACGATAGGGGGAGACTGGCATAGGGGGGGTATGCATCGACCTGGAATCGGCCATACACCGCAGATAGATCGGCGACAGGCTCCCGATAGTGGATCCGCACCTCGCAGGTTCGGGCCATCGCGCCCCTGTCGGCGATCAATGAGCGATTGGGGGTCTATGCATCCCCCCCTGTGCCTATCCGTGTGGATGCCACACTTTAACAATCTTATCATTGCTTTAAAGTGTGTTTGCAATGTGTAAAGCATGTCCAAAAAGTGTTCCAAACAAGTTTTCAACATATTTGGAACATGAACCATTTTTGCTGACATCTGGAAATCATTTGGCAACCTGCATCCTCTCCATTGATCGTCCTCCACAAGCCTATCCCCCCCTATCGTTGCCTCCGACTCCCTGTCGGGTCGGGCGAAAGGGGGGGATAGCAAAGGGGGGGGTTGAGAATCAGCTCACGTATCTGATTTTCCCGGCGCCTTCTGGCGCCGGGAGGCGCCCATGCATCGAGGAATGGGCCCGGCGGCGGGGCCGAAACCAGCTGCATGCAGCAAATTTCGTAAACCCCCCCTTTCCCAATCCCCCCCTTTCGTCCGGCCCGATCCCTGGCGCGCGGAGCGTGGCCCGTGGCACTGCACAGCGCCCGCGGGAGGGCCCGGCTCGGCTGCAGGGCACCCGGGCGGAGCTCAGCAGAGGAGGGCGCCTCGACGGCGCGCAGGCACGGCTTGGCGATCCATGGATTTCCAGGAGGGGAAAAAACACACAGACACAATTAATCGTCGATTCCCCAGAGAATGGGGATATATGGGAAGTGGGGGGAAAGACAAAAACCCAGAAAATATAGGAAAATATGGGGAATCCTCTTAATTGTGTTTATTTATTTGTGCGTCCCAGGGCCCCTTCAGACTTGGCGCGCGGTCGCCAAATTCGGGCAGGGAGAAAGGGGGGGATAGCAAAGGGGGGGGTGAGAATCAGCTCACGTGCCTGACTTTCCCGGCGCCTCCCGGCGCCAGAGGCGGCCATGCATCGAGGAATGGGCCCCTCGGTGGGGCCGAGACCAGCTACATGCAGCAGATTTCGTAACCCCCCCTTTCCCAATTTCCACTTTCGTCTGGCCCGATCCATGGATTTGGCGCGCGGTCGCCAAATCCATGGATCGGGGGACGTGCCCTCCCCACAAGGTGCGGCCGGCGCCGCCTCGCTCGGCAGCGGGAAGCCGCGATTTCCCACGGACACGGGACCCGTCGCTAGTCCACGCCCCCTTGATCCATGTTTGCGGTCGCCTGAGTGTATACGGTCGGACGAAGGACACAAATGACATCCTCCTCAAGAACGCGAGGCCCTCCGTTGTCTAGACGGAGAACCATCCGAGACATGCCCTCCCACAGTTGGGGAAACCACAAAAGGTACCAACACCGCCTCTCCCCAGACCTCTCTTGGGGTGCGTTCTGACCAGAGTTTCGAGACGAATCCAGCGTTGGCGACGAGGGCCTCCAAGGAGGCCCAAAAAGTGGAAAAACGAGGGAAGGATGGCAGTATCGGTACCTTTTCCCATCTGACAAGTTGCACAAAAACATAATCTTGGGGCACCCTCCACAAACCGACCTCGATCCTTATACCTCGGTTCGACCCTCGATCCTTATAATTACCCAAGTCCGACCGCATGTTCTTGGATTGGCGCTGGACCATGTTTCCTGGTGCGCGGGGGGCGGCGCCGCCGGGAGGGCCCAGCGCAGATCCCAGGAACCCACGCGGGACTCGGGATCTGCGATGATTAAACCCTTCGATGTTCTTTTCTTCGATGATACTTCGATCATTCGATGGTCTCTTCTTCGATCTTCGATCCTTTGACTCTTCAGAACATACACAGTTCAGGAGCCCGCGCGGAACTCTCAGGGTCTTCGATAGCTCGATGATTCGATTGCTTCTTCGACCTTCGACTCCTCGCCTCTTCGATGTGTTTCCTTCGATCCTTCTTCGATCCGTCTCTCGATTAGTCGATCCGTCGATCTGTCCTTCGATCTTCGATTCTTCAGTGTACAGTCGGGCTGCTGAAATAAGGAACGAAGCCCCTTCTGCGGCTTGAAAAAAGCCTGGGTGCACGAGCAGGGCCAGGGGAACACCCACGGAAGGACGCCAAAGAATATCGAGCCCCCTCCGAGTCCAAACTGTTCCTTATTTCGGCGCCTTGGCTGCACCTGCAACCTTTTGAGCAGGGCCGACCGTCCCGGCATTCCTATAGTTGTACCACGAAATGGTATTGGAACCCCAAAATGTTCTAAGAACAAAAACAATGTTCTTAGCACATAAAACCGATGTGTTAAAACAAGACACTCCCAGCCAGACATGTCCTAAGAACATTTCGTGGGCACCACACAAGGTTCTTAGAACATTGTTTGGTGGGGCTACAGGGGAGCCAGGACGCTTCGTCGCTGCTTGAACCTTTTGTGCTCGTCGACCCCTCGAACCGACCGGAGGGCCCGCGCGCGCGGGGCCCGCTCCGCGGAGCCGCGGGCGGGGCCGCGGCGACACACGGAACGCCCCGGGCGGAGGCGCGCTCGGCGGGCGAGAGCCCGAGGTCCTCTTGGGGGGGGGTGCTCTCGCGCGCGGCGGCGGCGGCGGCGCGGCGAGGCCGCGGCGGGCGGCGGGCGGCGCGCATCGGAAGGCGCGGAGTCCGACGACGACGACGACGACGACGACGACGACGACGACGACGACGACGACGACGACGACGACGACGACGTCGGGGGCGGCGGGCGGCGACGACGACGGGGGCGGCGGGCGGCGGGCGGCGAGCGACGACGGCGCGGGGTCCGACTGCGACAACGGCGACGGCGGCGGACCCCGACGGCGGCGGACGGCGGCATCGTCGACGGCGAAGGGCGGCGACGGCGGCGGCGGAGGGGGGCGGGACGACGACGACCTCGAGGGCGAGGGGAGAGGAGGGGTCGAGGGCTTTGGCTTGCGCTTTCTGACGTTCCTCCTGTGCCTCCCGAGGGCCCCCCCCCCCCCCCCAGGGAGGGCATCCTCTGGAGGCCTCGCGGTGGGGCAGGAGGAGGGGCGGGAGTCGGAGGAGGGAGGCTAGAGGGGATGTGGGGCGCGGGAGTGGAGAGGGGAGGAGCAGGAGGACCAGGGTGGAAGAGGCTGGAGGAGGATGAGGCGGAGCATGACTATGTAGTGTGGGGAGAGTAAGGAAGAGCAGGAGCAGCAGCAGCAGCAGGAGGAAGAGAAGGAGGAGGATAGAGTAGAGGGGAGTTGGAGGATGAGAGGACGACCAAATGTTCAAGAAGGTTGATGAGGTATGACTAGGCCACGCGGCAATCCCCCCCCTACCTCGCCTTACTCATCCTCGCGGTGGTCGTCGTCCTCCTACGTGATCCTCCATGATCCTCCATGATCCTCTACCTCCTCTTCCTCCTCCTCCTCCTCCTCCTCCGCCTCCTCTTCCCTCGACCCCTGCCTCCCTTGCTCCCTCCCTCCCTCCTTCTTGTTTTTTATTCATTAGTTTTCTTCTTATTATATTTTTCCTCCTCCTCCCTCTCCTCCTCTTCCTCCTCCCACTCCCCCGCCCCATCCCTCCCCCTCCTGCTCCTCCTGCTCCTCCTCCTCCTCCTCCTCCTCCTCCTCCTCCTCCTCCTCCGATCCGTTATCATCCTCCTGCCCGGTGGTGGTCGCCGTAGTCCTCCTCCTCTTCCTCCTCATCGTCGTCCCCTACCTCCTCCTCCTCCTCCTCCTGCTCCTCCTCCTCCTCCTCCTCCTCCTCCTCCTCTTCCCTGCTCTTCATCCTCCTCTTCCTCATCCTCCTCGTCCTCCTACTCTTCTTCCTCCTCCTCTTCCCTGCTCTTTCTCATCTTCCTCAACCACTCTCCCTCCTTTGTCCCTCCTCCAACCTCCGACCTCATCCCCCTCCCAACTCCCAACCCAAACTCCACTCCTCCTCCTCCTCCTCCTCCTCCTCCTCCTGCTCCACACTCCTCCCCTCCTCCTCCTCCTCCTCCTCCTCCTCTCCTCATCCTGATCATCATCATCACCATCACCATCACCCATCACCATCACCATCACCATCAGCATCATCATCATCATCATCATCATCATCATCATCATCATCATCATCATCATCACTCTTTCTCTCCTCCTCCTCCTCCTCCTCCTCCTCCTCTTCCTCCTGCTCCTCCAAGTCCTCCACCCCCCCTCTCTTCCCCCTCTCCACATCCTCCAGTCCTCACCTCCTCATCCTCTTCCTGTCTCCATCGTGCTCCTACTCTCATCCTCCTCCCCCTCGGCCCACGTTCCTCGGAATCGCGCACAGCAGCTCGAATCGACCCCTCGCTACGTGCCGCCGCGTGGAAAAGGCATCACGCGGCACCCTGGCCTTTGCCTGCGCTTATGCTGCCTCAATCTAACGCTGGAGCGAACTGTTCGAAGGAGGAAGGCGAAGAACAAAAGAGGGAGATGATTCGCTTTACTGGTAGACCCGGTAACTCTGGCAAGTCTTTAAGAACCCCCCCGGGGTTATCGTTAGCACCGCACCAAGATTTAATATGTTCAGGGGGTCGTTTTCGCAGAGCGACATCTTTAGCACCTCGCACAAATCAAAAAACAACATTTCGTGGCGCGTCGCGCGCCGCGCAAGAAGAAATCCTTGGGGATGCCTTTGGATATGCTGTGCAATTCCTAGGACATTTCACGGACCAGCAAAGGATTGCCTCCTGCTTAGCAGGGCTTAGCGGGAGCTAGCAGGGCTCAGCAAGGCTTAGCTTGGCCCCGAGCGCTTCCTGCGGGCTCCTCCGGTGCCGAGGTAACGCTTCCAGGGTGCCCGATGTGTTATACTTTCACCGGATGAGAGGGTGGGTGGGGGGGGTTATTAAAGGCTTGATGCGGTTAAGCAGTCCCCAGGGGTTCCTTGAGTGGTGGACAAAGATGGGCGTATCGCTCGATCCACCGAACAGGTTCACACTACTGTTGAAGATCATGTTGCGAATCGCGAGGGAGCTGTGCATATCTCATTCCGCGAAAAGGTTGAGAAATAAGCCGACACCAGCGGCGTGCGTGAGGGGCTTTTCCGTCGTCGTCGTCGTCGCCGCCGCCGTCGTCGCCGTTCCCCCCCTGCCACTGGGCCCTCCTCTTCAAACGTTCCAGTCAGAGGGAAATCGAGCAACGTCGCAATCGAGTCGAAGGGAAGCCCCTTCTCTTTGATCACTCCCCCGGCAGGGGGGGGTCCCGGGGGTTGTGACTCAGCTTTCCCATTCGATCCCTTGTCTCTTAGACGCCTCTAGCTCACTTGTACCGCGGCTTGCTCCAAGAGGGCCCCGCAACAGCCCAAGATAACTTCAAGACAGCCCCAGCAGCCCCAAGACGCCCCAAGAGGGCTCCAAGAGGAGCTCTAAAGTGGCCTTGAAAGGCGAACACATCAGCGATGTTCAACTCGCTTTTCCATGGTTTTCGCCTCCTCGCATCTTCGGCCTTCCAACGCTCGAAGATCAAAGAAAGCAACTTAACTCGCCCCAAGACGGTCCCAGAGGCTGCCGAAAACGGCCCAAGACATCCCGATGACGGCCCCGAAACCGCCCAGCAGGCCCCCAAGACGGCCAATCAGGCTCCACTAGGGTCCTCCAAGGCTCTCGAGAGGGGGAGAGCACCAGCCGACATTTCGAGCCTTCCCCCCCAAGATGCCCCCAGGTGGCCCCAAGTTTCGCCCGAGAAGCCCCAACGAAGCTCCCACGAGGCCCAAGACAGCCCCAGCACTACTTGCAAGACAACCCCAAAAGGGTAACATAAACGAATGCCTTCAAATTGTTGAATATGTTCGCCGACTCCGTCGTCATCGTCGTCGTCGTCCCCTTTCAGAGTCGGCGGCACCGGCCGCAAGGTCTTCGCAATATAACACGGAGAGCGCTTGTGCCGACGGGCCAAGTCTGCAGGACTGATGTTGTCCCCACCCCTTTCCCTCTTCGTTCTCGTCGCTGTTGTTGCCGCCCTTCTCCTCGGCCCAATGCTTGCCTGAAACCTTCGACGCGTCCCCCTGCTCCTGCTCGTCTCCCCACCACCTCCCCCCCTCCCCCTCCCCCCTCCCCCTCCTGCCGATCCGCTTCCTCCCCTTCCTCCTCCTCCACCTGGTCTTGGGTCTCAAAAGGGGGTTCTGGACGAGAAGTGAAAAAGACTAAGGGAAAAACACAACAACATGCTCATACATAGTCCCAAAATGGTCCCCAGACTGTTTTTTTGCGCTATTTTGGAATCATATCCCCCTGTACAGGAGGGACAGGCCCGACTCACGCCCGGTCTCCCTCTCATCCGCCGCCTCCTCCGCAATCTGAGCCTCCGCCCAGACGCGTGGCGGCCGCGGTCCTCGCCGCCACCGAAGGGGTCCATCCACGCGACGAGGGAGGCCCTCAGCGGCCCAGCGGCGCCTCCCGCGTCAGGCCCGGGGGGGGGGGGGGGCCCACGCGGGAGCCCGCCGCCTCTCTGCCTCTCTCCGCCGGCCGAGGCGCCTTCGCGGGTGCGGAAGGTGTGCGCGCGAGGCCCACCGGGGGGGCCCAGGAAGGAGGCCAACGGGGCCGACGCCCCGGTTCTAGGGGGCAAACTAACCTACCTCGCTTTTGACCGCCCTCGCTTCCAAGAGATACCAAGCGATGCCAAACTACGGCCTGTACTGGTCAGGCAGCTTGACGAGGAGGCGCGTGGTATGGTTTGGTCTTGCCTGGAAGCGAAAGCGGGGCAGGTAATTCACGCTCTGAGGTTCGGGTCGCCGTGCCTCTGCACGACCTCTCCTGCCGCCGCCTCTCCTGGCGCGCTCTCGGCACCCTGCCCGGCTTTGCCGAGCCTCTGCTGCCTCCGCCTCCGCGGTCGTGCGTGCCGCTGCTGCCCTCGTCCTCCTCTCCTGCCGCCGCGCGCACCGCCCCACGGCCTATTGCGTGTGCCCTCCCCGCTGGCCACGCCCGGGTGGCTGATGCGGTTCTCCGTCCTGGCCTCGGCAACCACACGTGAGCCCTGCCAATGTGAGGACGCCGTGGTGTTACAAGTTTCCTCAGCCCATCGAAATCCCAGTGGCGCGATGCCGCCGATTGAGGTACGACTGGGGGGTCGGCAAGCTGTCCTGCCGTTGGACCGCCATTGCCCGGATCCTTTCTTGCGTCCACGGATCCATTTTTGAGGGCCCTCGGGCTCGGTGACAGGCCCGAGAAGCTCAAGTCCAAGAAACACGCCCGCATTGAAAGAATCACATCGTCGAAGATCTGGGTCCCTGGTGGCTTTCGTCGAGTCGAGCCTGCGGCGGCCGTTCGTCAGGAGGGAAAGAAACACACAGACACAATTCATCGTCGATTCCCCCGAAAATATGAAAAAATATGGGAAGTGGGGGGAAGACAAAAACCCAGACAATATGGGAAAACATGGGGAATATTTTGATTTATGTGTACTTATTTGTGTGTCCCAGGGCCCCTTCAGTTCGGGATGATCCGGGCACCCAAGGACGCCCTCGGCGAGGCGCAGCTGCCGAAGGCATTCCGAGCCTGGAAAGCCGCGAGAACCGACGAAATACCAGAAAACCTCGAAACTCGAGCCGCCATGATCTCTCGGGGCCGCCACCGACAATGACACGAAGGAACAGCACACACCCATACCCATGCCCACGGGAAGGTCGGAGGGAGGAGGGCTGGGTACGAGCATGGGTGCGGCTTGCCGGACCCTCGGGGGAGCTCCCCTTCGAACGGGGGCCCCGTCCGACAGCACGCACCCACAGCCCCCATCCGTCCCCCCCGTGGGTACGGCATGGGCACGTGCCGTCTCGGGCGCCCGCATCGCCCGCGACGGCCTCAGAGGGCGGCCCGAGTCCCACAAACCGTCTGGTCACCCCGGCTCTCCAGTGACTCACCACACGGAACACACGGTTGAGGGGGCCTTGGGGCACACAAAGAAGTACACACAGAAATAAAAGGATTCCGTATATTTTCCTATATTTTCTGGGTTTTTGTCTCCCCCCCCACACTTCCTATATTTTCAAACATTTTCGGGGGAGTCGACGATTAATTGTGTCTGTGCTTTTGCTCCCTCCTGCACGGTGTGGCCACCGCACCACCGTCTGGGGGCCCCCGATTTATACCCCGACCCCTTTCGCCATGACTGTGTTCACAACGCTGACCCCCAGACGCCTCGAGCCGCTCCCCAGACGTCGACCCCCAGACGTCGACCCCCACGTGGGTATGGGTGCGTGTTGTTCGTCCGTCAGAGGATGACTACCTACCGGACCACTCCAACCCAACCCGAAGACCCGAATTCTGGGTTGGGGGGGTGTACTCGTTCCACATGTGTTTTCTCAAAATATTCCGCGACCCCCCCCCCCACTGGAAGTGGAGGGCAAACTGAGATCTTCAAGTTGGGTTGGTTGTGGTTTTCAGGGCCGCGCAAACATGGACTGGTGATCCATGGATCTGGCGCGCGGTCGCCAAATCCATGGCTCGGGGGAGGTGCCCTCCCCCAAAGTGCGGCCGGCGGCGCCTCGCTCGGCGGCGGATATCCGCGCTCTCCCATGGCAACGGGACCCGTCGCTAATCCACGCCCCCTCTTTGGACGCCCGAAGTGGGTACGAAAAACATGGGCACAGTGCCCAGCAACAACTGCTGTCCCAAACCAACAGCGGCCGCTGTCGGGCAGGCGGCCTTCTGTTTCAACTGCACACCCGCCGCGGCGACACCGACCGCGAGTCCTGTTCAGAACGAACAGGAACGGCTGATGGGCATTGTGCCCATTCTTTCCGTACCCATTTCTTGGCGGCGCGCACCAGGGGGTGGGGGGAGGGGGGAAGGCTTCTTAGAAGGAGGCCGCTTCTTCGAAGGCGCCGGCCTCACACCTATACAGAAGGCCCGCGCCTTCTGAGAAGCAGGGGTGCTTCGAAGAAGCCCTCCCCCCACTCTCCCCACCCCCCTCTGCGCGTGGCTGAATCTCGGTCGTGCGGACCCTTCATCCATGTTTGCGATCGCCTGAGGCTTGGCGGGCGGTGACCACAATCGGGGGTGGACAGACCTCCCTTCAGTAAGACGTGGTTTAGTGAAAACGACCTCGGGCCCAAACCTGGCGGGCGCAAGCCTGGAAAATAACGGCCACGGCGCCCTCTCGAGAACCGAAAACGGACAATTCACTAATCGACGTGTCACTGTTGGGGGTTCTGTCCACCCCCGAAAGGAGGGAGCGTCGGGGGCCCCCCCACGCGGCGCCTCGGCCCGCCGCCCCTGCACAGTGCGACGCCTCGGACGGCGCCGCCGCGGACGCCGACCTCGGCCGGGCGCCGTGGCCGCCGCCGTCGGCGCCGTCGTCGGGCAGGAGTCGACGACCTAAACTGAAAGTCGGGCCTGTCCCTCTACAGGGGGAATATATATATATATATATATATACATATTTACATACATATATATATATATATGTGTATATATATATATATATTCTCAAGAACAATCCAAAAACAGCCTGGGGACTATTCTTGGATTTCTTGTTTGAGCACTTGGGGCTTTTGGTGGACAGTTTCTGATCTCTCGTCGAGAATCCCCTGGCAGGGGGACAGGCCCGACCTAAACTTCGACCGAGGGGCCGAACGGCCACCCACGAGATCCGGCCGATGCCGCTCTCCTGCACGCAGGGGGGCGCGGCTTGCCGCCCCGCCTCGGGTCCCCGGGGGCCATCACAGGTCGATGTCGGGCGCGGAGCTTTGCCGTCGCTCGGACGTCCACTCCTCGTGTATATGTTTCGACTTCGTGCGTGCTTTTTTGGCCAAGTCGTCCAGGATGCTCTTCTGTGGTCCACGCCGAGGAAAGAATGCGCACGTCCGAGCCATGCCGAGCGAAAGGGTAGCAGCAAGATTGGGCACAGGGCGCCGGTCGTGTTCTGTTCCCAGCTTCGCAATCTCTAGCAACGCCAGATCTCTGAGAGACACTTCGGTCGGGCATGTCCCCCTACAGAGGGATTTTGGACGAGAATCAAAAAATAGTCAAAACATACTCCAAAATAGTCAAAGCTCGTCCCCAAACTATCTTCTAAAACAGTGTTTGAATACTCCTGCTGTAGGGGGACATGCGCGACTTAAGGTTACACCATCCCTGGATGCGTGCCTGCAGTGGGCTTCCGCGGTGGCGATTCTGGTTGTCACTTGCTGGTCGGCGTCGCCGTCCTCGCCCGCGGCGCGCCAGCGACCCGCTCGCGACACGCCCGCGGCCCGGCCGCGACGCGCCCGCGACCCGCCCGCGGCCCGCCCGCGACCCACCCCCGATCCACTCACGATCCACTCGCGACCCACTGCAGGATTCGCGCCCAGATCGTGGGGATGTCTCTGGCGGTTTGCCTCTTTGGGTGCCCAGCGTCCTCTGTTCTCGGAGCAGTCCGTGAGGATGTCTCAGGCGAGGCGCTGGTTTCAGCACTTCCCAAGGGGAAGCCGCTAGGGGTGAGGACACCCGCGACCCACCCACATTGGTTTGACCAAGATTCGGCGCCTGCGGCGGGCTGATGGTTGAAGAAAGGCGCCTGCGGTGGGCTCGTGAGCCTCGCAGATTGCCGACGTCCCCGCCGCACCTTCACTCTGATCCGCACCTGTGGGCCATGTGTGGTGGATGAGGGCCGAGGTACGCGGGCAACCGAATGGCCTTGGTCCAGGCACGGCCCTGTGTGGGGCCTTCCAGATGTGACCCGGGTCCACCACGAAGCCGCCGATCTACCTGGCACAACCCCCGTGCCAGGAGAGCGCTGGCCAGCCAGTGCACACGGCAGGATGTGCTCCGGAAGCCTGGGGCACGAGGCAGCCCGAGCAGAATACCTCTGGCACAGGAACGCGAGGCACGAGGCGGGAGCTGCCCTGGACCACCCCCTGCCCTACCTTAGCGGCGCGCACAAGGGGGTGGAGGGAGGGGGGGGGGCTTCTTAGAAGGAGGCTGCTTCTTAGAAGGCGCCAGCCTTACATCTTTAGATAAGGCCCGCGCCTTCTAAGAAGCAGGGGTGCTTCGAAGAAGTCCTCCCCCCTCCCCCCACCCCCCTCTGCGCGTGGCTGACTGCCCACTCGGGGCACAGAGGCTCTGCACCCAGGATCGGACCGCCTGGGTCCCTGACGGCGCCTGGGCACCTCTTGCGGGCGACCGCAGCATCGGGTCGATGCATCACCTGCAGTCGGACTTGATTGGAGAGGACACGCGAGAGGACACAAGACCCTTCCGAGGGCCACGTTGCCACAGAAATGCAGGAGGCATGGGTCGCAAGACACGAGGGTACCCATGATCTTGCAGGGTCGACCTACTAATCCGGGCCGCCTGTAGGATCGGCGCGAGCATCGCAGCGGCGGGAAGCGGCAAAGGTCACAAACCCCCAACCGGAGCGAACCGGAAACTGGCTCGCGCGACGCCGGGTCGGAATCGAGATCGAGATCTGGAGGCAAGGAAGAAGGCGAAGGAGATGATTGGCCCGACTTTTGATGCCGCACGTCGTCGCACGTCGTCGTCGTCGTCGTCGCCGTCGCATGCCGTCGCCGTCGTCGTCGTCGTCGTCGTCGTCGTCGTCGCCGTCGCCATCGCCGTCGCCGTCGCCGTCGCCGTCGCCGTCGCCGTCGCCGTCGCCGTCGCCGTCGTCGTCGTCGTCGTCGTCGCCGTCGTCGTCATCGTCGCCGTCGCCGTCGCCGTCGCCGTCGCCGTCGTCGTCGCCGTCGTACGCCGTCGATTGTCATTGACGGCGGGCCGCCGGGAGCCCCCAGCGGCCTCCACGGGCCTCTGGGAGGCCTTCGGGATCCCGGCCCGAGGAGCCGGAGGGGGGGCCCCCTTCGGGACCCCCCTGGCCCCCGGAAGAGCCCCAGGGGCCCCCAGCCCCGCGGGGGGGCCCAGATGCACCTGGCCCCTGGCTGCATTCTTCAGTTTCTGTTGAGAGATGATGTTGGCTTTGTCGATTCAATTCGAGCTGTGGGCGAGCTACGAGACTCAGATGCACACCAATCGACAGGAAATGCTGAAGAACGCCAGCCTCAAGTGTCTAGACGCCTGAGATTGTTCTGCTACCAGAGCTGACAACTAGCAGCCCCTGGGGACCCTTGGGGCCCCCCTGGCTCTCGAGGGCCCCCAGCCCCGGGCAGCCCTGGGATCCCCCAGGGGGCCCTGGCAGCCCTGGGTGCCCCTTGGCGCCCCTGGGGGCCCCCAGCTCTTGGGACCCGCAGGGGCCCCATGGCCCTCCTCCTCCTCCTCCTCCTCCTCCTCCTCCTCCTCCTCCTCCTCCTCCTCCTCCTCCTCCTCCTCCCCCTCCCCCTCGCCCTCGCCCTCGCCCCATAGCCCCTGTCAGCCCTCGGGGCCCCAGCCCCTCAGACCCCGCAGGGGCCCCCAGCCCCTGGCAGCCCTGGGAGCCCCTTCGGGGCAGCCTCAAAGTGGGGTGCCGCGCGCCCCGCAGCGAGAAGCAACACACGAAAGGCCATCGAGAGCCAAGGCTCTCCGGCCCCCGAGACCCCTGCCCGGCGGCGTCCAAGGACCCACGGGCCCATCGGGCGGGCGGAGCAACTGCGGCGCTGACGCCGTTGGGGGCGCTGGATCGGGGAGCAAATATCGGCGCCGCTCCTTGCTGGAGCGTTGGATCCAGCCGTGGCGACGAAAACCCAGCAGGCCCCAAACCCCGGAAGAAGGAGAGCCAACGAAAAAACGGCACCGACATTCGCTCCTCGCTTGCCCTGTGTCCCGAAGAGGCTGGAGGAGGCACGGCGCCTTCGGAAGCCTGCGGGTATGGCGAGGCACTGCGCGGAACGGCGCTCGGGAAGGCTCGGGCTGGCGATCCGGGCCCCGTCGGGGCCCAGACGTGCAACCGCGTGGAACACGGTACGGCCTGAAACATATATCAAGAGCGAAGACACATCGGCTGAAATCGAAATCGCGAAGACCTCAATAGCGAAACACATACCTCAATAGCGAAGCACTGCTCTGGATCGGCAAGAATCGGCTGACACATCGAATCGGCAGGAATCGGATCGGGCGAACTCGAGATCGGAATCGGAATCTCCGCATCCAATCAGTTCAAATCGGCAGCCCGGGAAATCGAATCGAATCGGGCCGGCGGAGTCGGGAGGAGGAGGAGGAGGAAGGGGAGCAGGAGGAGGAGGAGGAGGAGGAGGAGGAGGAGGAGAAGGAGGAGGAGGAGGAAGGGAAGGAGGAGAAGGAGGAGGAGGAGGAGGAGGAGGGGGCCCGACCCGTGAGGCCGCGGACACGGCTGTGCTGTCGCCCACGAAGAGTGCTGCGACCCCGCGGCTGCAGCTCTCTCTCGGGCGCGCCGGCCGTCCTGGCCTCCCACACAAAAAAGTCTCCGTCTATGGGGCAGGTCGGGGACGCCCTCCTGCAGGCGGCTCTTGGGCGAACACGAGAAGGAAGAGCCAACAAGTGTGCAAACGCATGGTCAAAACACACAAGAGAGATCGTCCCCTATGCCATCTCTCGACACTCCTTCAAGAGTCCTCCTGTAGAGGGACATGCCCGACGCAAGTCTATAGAGGGCCTCGAGAGGAGCGGGCCGACCTCGCCCCAGGGCTGCACGGCACCGGGGTGGCGGACGCCGACGGGGCCTGGCGCGGGTCACGGCGACAGCAAGCGTCCGGAAGGGGCGGAAAGCGCACGGCAGCGCGCGGAGTGGATTGGCTGGAGGTAGGAAGAGGGGGGAAGGCTGGACCTAAACGTTGTTTTTCGTTTAGTTTTCGTTTTTTGTGTTTCGTTCTTCTCTACCTGTTTTCTGGTACCTCCCTGCCAAAAGGAAAAACAAAACACAGCCGAAGTCCAACAAAACAGCGTTTAGGTCCAGCCCTGGCGCACGGTAGCACATGAAACGGACTGGCTGGAGGTAGGGCGAGGGGGAGGAGGGGGAGGTTGGGGGAGACGGGGGGGCGTAAGAATGCGGATGGCAAGAGGGAGAGGGGAACGATGGAGGACCATGTGAGGCGGATCGGGACACGTCTGATCCTGAAGTGGAAGCCGATCATGGTATTGCCACGCATGTGCAAATAGACATCGCAGATGGAACCGCAGAGGGGGAGAGTGAGCGAGAGAGAGGCAGACAGAGAGAACACACAACAAAGTATATACATAGAGAGAGAGATAACAAACAAATCGGCAGACAGACAGAGGCAGGGAGATGGAAAGCAGACAGAACTATACATAGAGAGACATGGACACCCAAAAAGAGAGAGAGAGAGAGAGAGAGAGAGAAAGGTAACACAAGAGAGAAAGAGAGAGAGAGGGACAGAGACACGCGCGCTTCGCGCGCGCTTGGGTCTACCCACGGTTGCTTCCCGTTGAGTGGTAATCGGCTTCTCCGCGATACTCGCTGACACTCATACGCGGGTGCCCATGTGACATGTGGCGCGCAATCGCTACCAGAAGGCGCTTCACGATATTCGGTGAGCTGCACGCGGGACGAGTTGCAAGAAGCGCCGAACATGCCATCAGAGAAGCGAACGAACTAACTCACAATGACTTGGTGGAGCGAGTGTTTCTGGATACACAGTTTCGGAACATGGTCCTAACCTTCGTTGTCTTCGGCTGACGAAGTTGGCGTCGCAGGAGCATTGCAGGGTGTCTCAAGCGGAAAAGGCCAGTCCGCTCTGCGCGCGGCATATTGGACCCCGGAGATGTGAGGATATCTCACGCCAAACTGTGCAGATCGATTCGCGCGCTAGTAAATCTAGGATCCCAGAGTGGAGAGGATGTTTCAAGGGAGATGGGCCAGACCACTCCGCGTGCGGTATCTCGGAGCGTTGTGTGGCAAGGACGACTTTGGCGAAACGAGCTGGACCATATCGCGCGCAACATCTCAGAACACATAACTTCGAAGATGCTTCAAATGATATGCGCTTCACCAATTCCGGAAAGGTCTCCCCGCCAAATTCGGCACTCCCCTCACACGGATCGTGCCTCCCCAGGGTCTCTGGGGACAAAATTCGCATGGCATCCCTCCGCCCATCTCTGCACACCCTTCACACGGATCGTGCACCACACGGAGTTAGTTCCACGTGCAGCCCCAGCGGGAGGATTCGCATAGCGTCCCCCACGCGTAGTTCGACTCACTCCTCACACTGATCGTGCCCCATAAGGAGCTCCACCGACGGCCCCAGAAACGAAGCTCGCATCCCGCCGCTCTGTCCATGTCGGCACGCGTCCCCACGCCCAGTTCGGTGCACCCCTCGCGCGGATCGCGTCCCACCGAGACCTCCACCGACGGCCCAGGAGCGAGGGGGTTCGCACGGCGTCTGCCTCCCTATTTCGGCTCATCCCTGACGCGGATCGTGCCGCGCAAGGAGCTCACCCCGTGGCACCAATGTCGGAAGCGGCCAAGAGGGGGGTGTCCAAGAGGGGGGGGGGGTGCAAATCATGTCCGGCGGCATGTGCGCGGCCCAGCGGGGGGGCCAGGGACGTAATGAAATAAGAAGAGGCGCCATAAAATCTGGGGAAACATCATGGCCCCCCCCAGTCATCACCCCCCTCTTTTCCGCCCCCGACAGTGGGAAACTTCGCATGGCTTCCCCATGCCGCTTTCGGCGCGCGCCTCACGCGCATCGCGCTCCACGGGGAGCTCCACCCTGCGGCCTCCGTGGGCGCGCCCGCGCGGGGGGGCACCCTTCTCGCACGAGGACGAGGACCGCGCCCCACAGGGCGCAGCGCGCCTCTGCGCGCTGGCTCCGAAAGCAACCTCCTGATTATCCGCACTGCGCACTGCCCGGCGGCGCGCGGGAAGTGTGACGAGAGGGTCGCGCCAGGCTGCGGCAGGTCCGCGTCGTGCCGACCCTGGCGCTGGCTCCTGGCACCGCGGGGATCGTTCAAGCCTTGCACGATCGGGCGTTTTCGACAGGTCCGATCGTTCAACATCGGCCGACTCCTGGTCTGGCCATCGCTCGGACGTCCATTCCCTGTGTTTTTTCCGGTTCCGTGCGTGTTTTTTTGTCGCCCGATGGTCGAGGATGCTCCTCGAAGGTCCTCGCCGAAGGAAAAATGCACACGTCCGAGCGATGCCAAGTGAACGAGCGGGCGTTTCCGACAAGTCCGTTCGTTCAACCGCGGCCGACTCTCGGTCGCCAGCGGCGTTCAACCTCAAAGGCCCGCGCGGGGGTGGCCGCCCGTCGACACGACGCGCACCCACCGTACGCGCAACTGCATCGCGCCGGGCCCGACGGCAGGACGCCCCGGGCACTCTCGGAACGCGCTCGGGTGGTCTCGGAACCCCGGGAGCCTCCCGGGGAAGCCGTCCCGGGGGGAAAAGGCCCCATGTACACCCTACGAAATGCTTAAGAAATCATGGGTTAAGAAATTCATAGTCTCAGAACTTGAATAAAAACCAAAAATTTCCATTCAAATCTTAGGATTTACATTGAAACATTAAGAATAATCGAGACTCTGGCCGAAATTTTAAGTTTTCTTAAGCATCGCCTAAGGTGTACAGTGGGGCTGTCGGTGCAAGGCCCTGGGCCCGGGATCTCCCTAACATGTATGTGCGTATCCATACACAGGCAAGTTAAGAGGATGCCCGATCCCATAATTGCACAGGGACTCCCGTAAACAGCGGCTGAAGTAAGGGCAGTCATGATCTCACCCTTCTCGTCGTCGTCCTCCTCCTCCTTCCTTCCTTCTTGATGTTCGGCGAACATCTTGGTTCTTCTTGAACACACTTTTTTAACCAACTGTTTTGCACTTGGGCTCTTGACAAGCCGAAAACGCAAAACAAGACAAAGTGCTTTAGCGTTTTTAGCTCAATTGTTGAACGTTTTTTGGGCCCGTCGCTGTAGGTAATCATGTCTTGATGGTTTTTCGCTTGCTGTTCCTTGTTTTCCCTGCTGTCGTCGCTGCCGCTTTTTCGTTTCTGCCGCCGTTCTGTCTCGCAGAACTCAGAACGTCAACAAACACGCTCTACCACCGGTCGCACACCGGCCCGAAACAGGCCCGCAGGCCCGACGGCCCCGGGAGGGGGGATCGGCCATGGGGCCTGCCAGACTGCACGCCAGGAGGACTGCACGCCAGAAGAAGGATCTGAGGGCGTCGACGACGGCAGTGTCCAACAATGCAGCCACATGCTCAGAATATGCTAAGAGCGCGAGGCGGAACACGCAGAACAAGGGGCTTGTTTTTGTCATCGTTCTCAAGATTATCGTTGGCACCTTGTTGGGACCTTGTTGGGACTTGTTTTCCTTGTTGAGACCTCGTTTCTGTCATCGTTCTCAAGATTATCGTTGGGGCCTTGTTGGGATTTTTTCCTGTTGGGAACCCCCCCTTTGAGCTGCACACCCCTGCGCCCTCGCCGAGAGCACGCAACCCGAGGGGCAGAGCGAGAGAGAGAGAGAGGGAGATCGGGGAGGCAGGAGGAAACAGGGGAGCCAGGAAGGAGTGTCAGGAGGCAACTGCTGGGAGGTTTTACGTCGGAAGGCTGAGAGAAGGTTAAGCCCCATTGGGGGGCTGCTACGCCGGAGTGGGCCTCGGATTAAGCAACGTTAAGCAGGATCAAGCGGGAATACGCCGGATTAAGCGGGATGTCGGATTAAGCGGGAATCAGCCGGATTAAGCGGGATTAAGCGGAATGTCGGATTAAGCGGGATGTCAGATTAAGCGGGATGTCGGATTAAGTAGGATCAAGCGGGAATCAGCAGGATCAAGCGGGAATCAGCCGGATTAAGCGGGATCAAGCGGGATGTCGGACCAGAGCAGAATCAGAACTTGACCTCCCAGGAATCGCATCCGAAGGAGTGGAGGGCGGAGGTGAGGAGAGCCACCCGAGGGGCGGGGTGGTGGGTGGGTGGGTGGGTGACCCTGACCTTCCAGAGCGCTAGAAAATAGCACTCCAGAACTATAGATCGATCTGGACTGCCTCAAACCCCGGCAGAAATTAGGACGTCGACGTCCTGGTGCTATGTTGTGGCCCTCCTGGAAGGTCAGGGGAGGTGGCCGGAGGCACGGCCGAACAGAAAAAACACAGGGCGCAGAAACATAGGAACCATAAGGCAGTCGTCGTGCTACACACAGAGAGCGGGACGAAGGGACACTCCCTGCCACGGCGACCCTCAGCAATGATCAATCAGGCTCCCCGACCTAGATATAAGGAACGGCCCGAAAACCAGTCTTGACAGTTGAAGAAAAACTGCCACTCGCTTCCGGGATGCAGGGCCAAACCAGAACGTGCCCCCCTGGCCTTCGAGTCGCGATTCGGCTCTCCGGCGGCCGTTCGGGGCGATCCGGACACCCTCAAGACGCCCTCGCGGACGCGCAGCCGCAGGAGAGCACCCCGAGGCCAGAAACCCGCCGAAGACCTCGAAAGCTGGTCTCTCAATAAGCGTGGGGGGGCGGATCGCGCGGGGGGGTGGGAAACACCGCTGTCCTTCGGGGGGCATGGGGAGGTTGGGGAGCGGAGGGGGTGGGCTTTGGGCGCGTAGGGGGGCGGGCAAGGGGCGCCGAACAGGTTGGCACGGGGGGGAGGCTGATTGAAGGATGTGGAATAGGTTTTGTTCGCCTGTGTGAAGGGGAACTGGGACACACAAATAAATACACACAAATGAAAATATCCCCCATATTTTCTGGGTTTTTGTCTTCCCTCCCACTTCCCATATTTTCCCATATTTTCTGGGAAATCCACGATTAATTGTGTTTGTGTGTTTCTTTCCCTCCTGACTGTGGGCCTGGCCGACCCCGAAACATCCCCCTCCACCACGGCGCGGCGCGGAGCGCGGCGGCCGCGCGCCGCGAGGCCGAGCTCGACCCAGGAGCTCGTGGGCGACCTCGGGCGCAGAGGTGGCGCAGGGCGGAAGGAGGGGATCCGACCGGGAGGACCCCCCGACCCAGCCCTCGTCCTCCCTCCCTGGTTTGCTGCCGGCGCAGGCCCCACTGGGGGCGCAAAGCAAGCATTCAGTTCCTGAGCTCGCCAAAGGATCGGTCGTGGGCAAGCGGGGGCAAGGAGAAGACCGAGGATCGTTCCAACGGAAAACGCCTGCTTCACAGATCCGTCCGTGAGGGGCCTGGTGTGTCCCGCCTTCCTGGCGGCCCGGTCGGCCGCGCCGTCCTCCCCACCCATGCCTCCTCCTCGACCTCCTTCTACTACTATTCCTCCTTCCCTCCCTGCTCCTCCTCCTTTTCCTCCTCCTCCTCCCTCTCTATTCCTCGTCCTACCCCTCGTCGTCCTCCTCCTCCTCTTCCTCTTCCACTGCCTCATCCCTTCACCGTCCTCCTTCGCCTTCACTGCCTCATCCGCCCTGCGTCCTCTTCCCTACCCCATCCCTCTCCCCTCCTGATTATCCTTCTTCGCCTTGTCCTGCGCTCGCAGCCGCGGACAAGAGTTCTGCTGGCGACACCACGACTACCCCATCCTCAGCGCCTCTGCTCTCGGGCCTTGCAGCCGAAGGAGTACTGGGCGAAGGGCTCGATGGCGATTCCCGGGCGTGTGACATGCTTGCGGAAGAGGGAAGGGCGCGGGGGGCACGCGGAAGACGGACGCACGGGGCTGGGGCATGAACAGAGACACATCGTCGGCCGACAGAGGGGGATAGTTAGGAAGCGACAAAGGGAAACAATAAAACGAGGCAGCTGCATAAATGAATCTGTGGGGAGCGGGGATCGGGGGCCAAGACGGAGAAGGGGGTCTCCGGGCATCGGGCGGCAACTCATCCTACTCACGGCTGACCAGAGATGGGGGCACTGCGTGTAGTGAACCTGAGAACCGGCACAACTCGCACATCCGAACCTGCAGAGAGAGGAGCGGTGCTGAAAACAACTGCACGTAGTCCAGGCGCCACGCTGAGTTTTTACGATCGCCAAGCGCCAGGGAGGAGGCGTTCCTAGCAGTGCGTTCTGTGTTGTTTGCCAGTCGAGCCTGGCGAGCTCCGCAGCTGCGACCTGTGGAAGGAGGCGAGGGAGGCTCCGAAGGAAAGAGGTTGAAAGGTCAGCTGGAAACGAAGTCGCCTTAAGCACTGCACTCGGAGCGCGCTGAACCTTCTGTTTTCCCCTTCGGCCAAGGCTTCCTGGGCAGCAGCGACAGCGAGGGCCCCTGCATGCCCGCATGGGGTGGAGGAAAACAAACGAAGCTTCTCGCATCGCTTCGACAGTCGGAGGCCCGGCCCAAAATTCGGGCGGCATGCGGCGCTGATGAGTCTCGAGCAGGGCCCAGTGAACTCCAACCCCCCAGAGTTCCCGATGCTGGTGCCGCCATGCAGGGCGCGCGCTAATGGCAGCCCTAAGTCCCGAAGCCAAGCGTAAATTGAGCGCGCCGCGGACCTGGGCCCCCCCCCCAAGTCTCGAGGTTGAAGAAATCGGTCCTGCGAGGTGCGCAGCGCGGGAGCTTAAAGAGAGCCGCCGGGATATCATGTTCTTCCCTGAGCACTCGCTGGGGGGAGCAGCGAACTGCGCAACGCGCCCCCAACAGCCGACGGCGCGGGAATGGCACGGGGCGGCAGCGACAGTGGCAGGCGCGCCAGCATACGAAGGAAGGCCAGATCGTTTCGACCACTGTCCGACCGGGCCGCCCCGAGACGATGGGAATCCGGCGAGGCCGAGAAAAAAGCCCGAGCTACATAAATTCTGGCGCAACCTGGAAGACCGCCCAAGAGGGCAGGTTCGAATCAATCCACTCGGAGTGCTGAGCGGCCACCTCGGGAGGAAAAGAAGCCGACCAGCGGGGCTACTTTGCATTCCCAACCCTCTTTGATGCCCGAAAGACCGCGCGCAGTTGCCTGGGAGTTGTGATGCTACGCGCAGCGCGACCAACGTCGCCAGCTCAGCCCAAGACCGCGCCTCTCAATTAGAATCCCGAATTTGACCACGAAGGGGTGCGAAGCAATCTCGTGCAAACGCCCGCTCGCAGGACACCCTTCAACTATGCCAGACATGAATGTGTACATGTACCTATATACGTGCCCCACCTGACCACAACAAAAGACGGAGTCGCATCTCATGCGGAGGAAGGCGAGGAGGGGCGGCGGCACGCTCAGCGCCCTTAGCACCAAGAAGATCCAGTGCTTCGCACTCGACGGGGATGCTTGCCCGTAGTCGAAGGAGACCAAGGCTGGCCGACGCGTCTGCACATCGGGGAGCATCGGAGTGATCCGACCCTGCGCGTTTAGTTCTACGATGTTCTGGCCGGACTTGCGCGTCGGGATGAAGCCCCGCCAAGACTCGGCAATGAAACTCGGGAACTTTCTCGTGAAAGACTCGATACAAACTGATGCCACTATTTGGCAGTCCGCGCTGTTCAGGCCCAGTGGTCGCGCACTCGAGGCCTCGCGGATGGGCGCCCTCGGGCTCGTCGCGCATCGCCAGGAACGCCCCCAGCAACGCGCCGAAACCAAATGGAAAGCGTTTGCCGTCCAGAGTCGAGGAGAGCGCGTCGCGAAGAATCGCGGGCCCCTTGGGGCGGCGCGTGGAAGTTGATCGGGGCCAGGGGCGCCGGGAGAAACCGCTTGCAATAATATAATCGTTCGCTATCACTCTCTTCTGGAGGCGGCGAGCCCGACGCGCCCGCGTCTGGCTTAAACCTCGCGGCGCACTGGAGAGCGGCCGCGCCGTCGACCTCGCGTTCCGAAATACCTGGCCCCAGTGCTCGGCCGGGGAGGCTAGCGCGCGCCGGCAAGATTGGTTTGGAGCGTCGGGGCCCCTGTGTTTCCGCCAGGGTCTCGGGGACGAAAATGTAAACTCTTCAACCGCTTGAGAAGTTTATCTCGTCGAGCTTCTGGGTTGTCCAGTTGGGGGGCGCTGCCCGGCGTCGGCCCGGGCCTCGCGGCAGGTCGCCGCGCGCGCCCGGTCGGCGCGGGCCCCATAGAGCACGGGGTCGTTGATCGCGAACGACTGGGCGAGCGCATCCACGCTCAGAAACTGGCGGCCACGCGGGTGCGAGGGCCTGGTTTTCTCGGCGAGGTGGGCGTCGTGGCTCCAGAGGGCCAGAGCGATAGTCCGAACAGCCATAGGAAACGGGACGGGGAGCCCTCGGGGCGCCCGCGGGGAATCGGGCCCCGCTCGCGCGCCGAGCAGCATCGGACATTGCGCACTCGTGGAAGGCGAGTTTCAGGGCAGGGGGCAGGTCCGAATCGCACACCTGGTCGAGAACGGTGGAGAGGCAAGCCTTGCCCTCGGGGCTGCGGGAGATATCTTGATCCATGCCCCTATCCTCGGCGGCCTTCGGCTGGCGAGCTGAAAAAAATAGCGCCGAAAGCCGCGCGGTCGGAGATCTGCGCCCGACCCGAAAACTCCGGGTAGCCGCGACTCCCTTCGCCGGCGCAGATCTGCGTTATCGACCAACCTGGGGCCGGCGCGAACAGCCCATCCAGCTTCCCAAGGGCCCCCTGTGCAACGCAGCGACGGGTGCACCCCTGGGTTTGGATCTCGACCGTGTCTGTGATAGCGGTTCGCCATCTTCTTCCTGAGCGGGCCGGGGGGCCAACAGTTGGGGCCCTCGAGGTGAACGCGTCGCGGGGCGCGTGGGAGTCATCCGAGAAGTTGCAGTCGCCACCCGTGTTGATGAAGGTTTCGAATGGGGGTCCGAGGAGGCCAGGTGGGGGCCCGCGGCGATAGCCTCCTAGATGAAATCGCGCTGAGAGACCGACGGCCCGCGGTCGTGAATATTGAAATCTGGCGCCGCAGCTCCGTTAGGGAACGCAACTCGAACATTCAACGCGCTGCCCTGGGCCAGTTCACTCTGCCCTATCTGCGGCCTGTCGCTCTCAGCATGCGTGATATCAAAATCGGGCAGGAAGGCGATCGCCCCTCCCGATGCAGACTGCGATGGCGGCGCGAACGAGAAAAAGGCCCGCGCGGGAAGGTGGGCGCGGTGGCGGAGGTCCCTGGGCTCAACCCCCGCCCCGCGAGATTCCTGGGTCCCGAAAATCGAACCTTTCCCCGGGAGATTCTCGAGATAGTTGATATCCCGAATCCGAATTCTAAGCTTGTGGTGAAATAAAGCGCGCCCATTCCATGAATTCGAGATTGCTGCCGGCGAGTTCTATGACTCGATCTGCGTCGGCGCCTGCCTGCGGGGTACTATTCAGGATCGGCTTCCACTGGGTGGAGATCTCTCCACGTTGCCCGTTGCTTGTTGACGTGGAAGCGATGGTTCGCGCATAGAGAAAACAACTCTGATTTGACCTTCTTTGATACGATGCCCCTCTGAACTTGCATCGGTGACTTGTCCTGCGAGACAAAAACCCCGGCCACATTCGAAGAAATATCAGGAGCCTGAAACCTCTGCCAAGTGTTCGCACGGATTTTGGAAACTGCCCAAGATCAGCTGGATTTTTCTGGCCGCGTACGATGCCGAGCCGTTGATCCTGATAATGAAGCGCGTGGCGGCGGGGTCTCCTTCGAGCACCGCTTCTGACATGTCCGCGTTGTTCTTCTGAAGACTGGGCTGCACCACAGCGTTCTGCATCTCTGGCTTCGGGATGAAAGACTTCAAGCGGAGCACCCAGATTGTTGGGTCCGCGCCACGATCGAAAACGCTGTCGTCCACGGTTGCTGTCTGCGGGCTTCTGCTTCTGTTTGCATGATGCCAAGGATGCGACCCAACCGCTCGACCGTCTCGCCCAGGGCTTTGATGCGATCTTCGGCGGAGCGCTGCCGCTTCTCCACGGCTGACAGACGAGTTTCGATTTGTCTACTGAGGTTTGTACATGATGAGTGTACCGATGTTGCCATCGCTCCCGCTTAAGTGTGCAATTTCCGAATGGAGGCCATGATGGAGTGATTGGTGTCGTCGGCATAATTGCGGATGTCGGCATCACTGTTGGCAAGAGGAGGATCTGCGTCGTCACCACAAAATGCTGCGATCATCATTATCACCTGCCGCACCGCGCCGCACGCGTGCGGGTGTGCCTGAACCGCCAGGAGCCTCTGGTCCTCCACCACGGACGGGGCGACGGGCTGGGTCCTGCGACTGGAACGTGGGCGCATCTTTATGAACCCGAACGACTGTTCGGTGCTCGTGATTCCGAGGCGAGCCATCGTTGCCTGACTACGCGGATAGTGGGCGCCCAAACGAGACCAGCCGGAGACGGAACGGGAGATCGCCTGAGGATCGAAATTGCACTCGAGAGAGGCCTACGGATAGGCCGCAAAGCTAATCGCTGATTCTCGGGCGACTATAGCCCTTCACAACGTTGAGCCTTGAGCCAAAATGGCTACGGACCTCCTTTGCTTCCTCCTCCTCCACCTCCTCCCCCTCCTCCTCCTCCCCCTCCTCCTCCTCCATCCTCCTCCTACTCATCCACCTCCTCCTCCTCCCTTCCTCCTCCTCCTCCTCCTCCTCCTCCTCCTATCCTTGCTCCTCTTCCTCTTCCTCTTCCCCTTCCTCCTCCTCTTCCTCCTCCTCCTCACGCCCGTCTCCCAACATCTTGTCTACTGCTCCCGCGAGGATGCTGCCCATTTCGCTGTCGAGCGGAAGCGGGGAACCGGTAGCGCGGCGCCCACGCTGGGGCCTGGCTTCCATGCCATGACTCGGGCCTCCGGCGGCTGCTCGGGAAGATGTCGGCACCGCTCTCGGCGAGGCGCAGCTGCTGGAAAGCATCCAGAGGCGACGGAAAAACACGAAAACGCCAGAAACAATACCTAGAGATCTCGACTCTTTCCCGATGCGAGGGTGGCAACTCGGCCGCCATCACTGGCAGCCACACCCGTCAACACACGTGGGGCAGCGGCAGAACGCTCCCCCCCTGTGCACGGCCCCGTCCCCGCGATACCAGCGGTGTCTTCGCGGCGCTCCGAAGGTGCTCTATCTGCTCGAGTTGTGCTAGACGAAAGGTGGGGTTAAAGAATCAGCTCACGTAGCTGATTTCTCTGGTGTGTCCTGGCGCAGTGAGGCGCCTATGCAAAGAGGAGAGGCACTTGGCGGCAGGACCGAACCGACTCAACAGTCACTATCGTCATCATCATCATCATCATCATCATCATCATCATCATCATCATCATCATCATCATCATCATCATCATTATCATCAGCATCAGCATCAGCATCAGCATCAACATCATCAGCATCATCATCATCATCATCATCATCATCATCATCATCAGCATCATCATCATCATCATCATCATCAGCATCATCATCATCATCATCACCATAAGCATCATCATCATCATCATCAGCATCATCATCATCAACAACATCATCATCATCAGCACCAACATCATCATCATCACCATCACCATCGCCATCGTCATCATCATCATCATCATCATCATCATCATCACAACAACCGTCATCATAATCAGAATCAGCATCATCAGCAGCAGCATGATGAGCATGATCATCATCAGCATCAGTATGCGCATCAGCAGCAGCATCATCATCACCACAACCGTCATCATCATCATCAGCATCATCATCATCATCATCGTCATCATCATCAGTATCACCATCACAATCAGCATCACCATCATGATCACCACAATCCTTATCATCGTCGTCATCAATATCATCATCGTCAACATCACCAACACCATCAAAAACGCCGTCATCGTCACCACCTTCACCATCCCAATCATCATCAGCAGCATCATAAACGCCATCGCCACCACAACCAGTATCATCGATCCTCATCAGCCTCATCATCGACATGGACGTCATCGTTATCAACATCAGCATCGCAAACGTCGTCATCGCCATCGTTGTCGCCATCGTCATTGTCATCATCATCATCATCATCATCGTCATCATCATCATCGTCATCATCATCATTGACCTGATCATACGCATCAGCACCAGCATCAGCATCAGCAGCAGCATCATGATCATCATCACCATCATCGTCATAATCATCACCAGCGTCATCATCATCATCGTCATCATCAGCATCCGCTAGTGGCAAAGCTTCTTGCTGAGAGCATGGTAATAAATATATAACAAAGGTTCGGCATTTGCAGATGCAATATCATCATCACCACCACCACCATCAACATCATCAGCATCAGCATCATCATCATCAGCATCATCACCACAACTCCTCGTTCCTCTGAGCCCGCACTAGAGGACCCCCCAGCTGCATGACAATAACCTTTCGGAGGTCCGCGCGGGTTTCTTGGATCGGCGCTGAACCCCCGGGCAGCGCCTGCAGAGCCGCTCTGAGCGCGCTCGTCACGGCAGAGAGGGGGTCTGGCGCCGATCCAAGACATGCGCGCCGACATCCGAACATATCTATGCTTATGACTCGTTTGCTCCTTCGAGCAACAGGGCCTTGAGACCCCAAAGCGCATCGCACGGTGTCTCGTCCCGCCCAAGAGGGGCCTAGCCGCAACGCTGAAATAGGGAACGCGCTCGGTCCTCCTCCGCCTCCTCTTCCTCTTCCTCCTCCTCCTCCTCCTCCTCCTCCTCCTCCTCCTCCTCCTCCTCCTCCTCCTCCTCCCCCCCGCCTCCTCCTCCTCCTCCTCCCCCCCCTTTTCTCCTCCTGGAGGAGGCCCTGGACTCCGCGCCGCTCCCTTAGGCTCAGGTCGGGAAGCCTGCTCGCCGCCGAGGCTCGCCGTGGCGAGAAGAGCCGCTCCTTGTGCAGCGGTCGCTCTGTCAGCACCATGAAATCCGCACGTTCGTGGGGCGGGGTGGGCGAGCAGGCCCCCTTTTCGACGATGAGTGGACGATCGGGGGTCGATGCCTCCCTCGCTGAGCCGATCCCCCCCTGAACGTTGCCCCATCAGGGGTCGGCCGGACAGCGGTGCCAGGGCTTGTTCCTGGGGGACTACGGCAAGCCGGGCGATGCCAATCAGAGTCGGCGCGGGCGGCCGTGAGAAGCGCCTCGATTCGATGGTCGGGCATGAAGCTAATGACGCCGCATTTGGCGACGGAGCGCCTTGACTTCGCATTGAGACGGGCCCCGTCGCTCATCCACGCGCCTTGATTTTTATGTTTGCATATTTTCGCTGATCAAGGTCGGCTGGGGCGGTCGTGGCGTGTTCCACACCTCGTCGGGGGGAAGTGCTGGGCGCCACTCATGCACCTGTACCGATCCTGACAACGATGGCCACATTGAGGACAACTCAACGGCATACAGGTAAACTTTCGGAACTCCGCGCGGCGGAACTCCGATAACTTATGTGTATGTCGTTTTTGTTGTGCCCTCCGACGAGTGTCGGCGTGCACGTGGCCACCCCCGCACTTGCCATCGTTCGGACGCCCCTTCCCTGCGCCCGTTTGGTTTCGTATTCTTTTTTTTTTTCGCAAGGGATGATCCAAGATGTTCCTGGATGGTCCAAGCTTTCTGGCGTGGGTTTCGCCAACGAAAAATGTACACGTCCAAGCGATGCCACACGCGCGAAGCCGCCTCGCCCGCGAAGCCCCCCCCAGAAACCCTTCATGAACCCCCGAGGCCCCGGCAGCGCACTGGCCGCGGGGGCGCCAGCGGGCAGCGGCGGGAACGCCTCCCCGCAGGGTCCCACCTGCTGTGTTCCCTCCTCATGCCCTTCTCCCCCTTTTCCTCCTCCCCTGCCCTCCTCATCCGCGCCCCTCTTCGTCCCCGTTTCCTCCTCCCCTCCTCCTCTCGTCCTTCCCTCTCCCTCTAATTGTCCCTCTTCTTCCTTTCATCCTCCTTCCTCCCTCCTCCTCCCCATCCGAACGGCGAGCGCATTTGTCCGCGCGCCCGAGCACTTTGATCGACAGCGGGCGCAAACACGCAGCCGCGGAACCCGCGCACCGCTCAGCAGTGACTGGCCCTGGAGCCGAGGGGGCGCGCACACCGGGGCCTGTAAATTCCAACGCGCGGGACCGCCGCGGAGAACGCGACGACGGCGCGGAGCGTCGCCCGCACGGCCGCCAGGCCTGCGGCCTGGGCCCTGCGGTCCCACCGCCAGGCGCCACTCCAGAGCCCTGCGGGCCCACCGCGAGGCGCCGGCCCGCTGAGTGCCCGCCGCCCAAACGCGTCCGCGCGTCGCCTGCTCGCCGGTCCTGCGCTGGCCGCGCGGCCCTGCGCCCAGCCCAATCGCGCGCCCTGGCATCGCCGCGCCGCCGCGCCCAGCAGCAACTCAGCCCGCGCAGAAGCCGCCCGGCGATCGGCTGTCCTTAGCGCAATCCGGCCGCGCGCCGCAACTGACGGGCCAGCTCCCGCTGCGCCGCGCAGCTCAGCGCCCGGTAGGCTCGCGCAAGCTCTTCTTGTCGCGCGTCCCCCAGGAGCTCTGGCCAGCGCCAGCAGCCAGGCCCGCGCCCCCCCGCCGAGCCAGCCGCCCGTTTCCACCGCGAACGCCGCGAGGCGCTCGCCCGAGTAGCGGGCGTGTTTGGCGCGGCGCTCGGCGCCGCGGCCGCCTCGCGCGCGCGCGCCTTGCCGCGCGCGCGGCGGGCCCGCCGCCTGCCGCTGGGCGGCGGACAGCCGCCGTAGGCCGCCGGGCCGCTCCAGGACCAACGCCTGGCCCCGCCGCAGCTCGCGGGCCATGTCCCAATGGGCACCCGCTGTTCGTGCAGCGGCATGCAGTGGCACCGCCTGCCGGTGAGGCTGCCCTGGGCGCGCGCCACGCCCGCGCGCCGCCTGACGACGCCTCCGCCCAGCTGGCAAACGGCGGCGTGGAACCCCGTCGGATCCAGCGGCGCTCGGCACGACGCTCCACTGGCCTTCTGTTTCTGGCGCGTCGCCGCCGCCCGCGCGAGCTCGTCCGTGGAGCGCGCCGGCCGCGGCAGCTGGACGCGGCCGCGGGTCGCCGTCGGCCAGCGCAGGTCCTCCAGCGCGCAGGCCAGCGCGGTGCTGGAGGCAGGCGCCGAACCCAGGCCCTCCCGCGGACAGCGGCGACGTCTGGCAGCAGCGGCGCACTCGCTGCCCCGCGGCAGCGCGGGTTGCGCACCATGGCAGACGAGGTATGCTGCTTTGTCGGGTGCCCCAGCAAGGCCTCCAGGGGCGCCGCCGGCTCGGGGTCCGCGCCCCAGCGCGCCAGCTCTGCCCGGGCCGCCCCGAGCGCGGCAACGGCCTGCGGCAGCGCCGCCAGCGTGTGTGCAAGAATGGAAACTTTTGAGACACCGCTGCGGTCGCCCCGCGCCTTCTCCGCCGCCTGCGCCCGCGCCGCCCAGCGGGCGGGCGCCCGCCTCGCGGCTGCCCGCTGCGCGGCGGCCCCTCCAAGTCATTGGCTGGCCCAGCAGCTCGAGCGCCTCTGGCCCAAGCGGCCGCCCCACCAGCTTCTCCGAGTAGCCCCTCAGCACGGCGTCGCGGCGGAAGGCATCCGCCCCCGCGGCCGAGGCCGGCAGCACATTGCGCTGGCTGGCGTTGCCCGCGCAGGCGCTGAGCAGCGCGCCCGCCGCCCGCCGTTCGAGCCCCCCTTGCAGCTGCCGCCCCGCGCTGGCCCAAGGCATCTCGAGGTGCGCCGTGGCCCCGTCCAGCGCGCAGCCCTGCCCGCCGAAAGAGAGCGCCGTCCCGTCGGCATCTCCAGGAGTCCGGATGCTCGCGAGCTCGGCCTGGACAGCCCGGGCCCGCGCTGGGGGCCAGACCGGCGCTTCGTCGGCGGTTAGCTGCCCCAGCGGCGCGAGCACCTCGCGGAGGCGCGCCAGCGCGAGGGCGCCGATGCCCGGCCGCGCCGCCAGGTCGGAGTCGCCGAGGTAAGAGCGCAGGCGTGCGCCCGGGCCCAGCTGCTGGAAGAGCAGCTCAAGGGCGCGGCGCTGCCCCGCGGCGAATGCCGCCAGGGGCAAGGGGTCTCCCCGGTCGAACCCGCTCCGGCTCCAAACCGTTTCGAGGCGCCCGCTGCCCGCGCGCCAGCAGTGCGCTGTAGGGCCCGCGCACCAGGCCCTCAAGGTAGCCGCCGCCACGGGGAAAGCATCGCCCGAGGCCTCGAAGGCGGGGCCGCGGCGCCTCCGTTGGGGCGCCGCCTTGACATCCACCTCGGTGAATGTCGCGTTCGGCCGGGCTTCCGCGAGGGCCCGCAAGTTCTGCGCCAGCGCGCGCGCGCCGCCCTTGCGCCCGACGCCGCGCTGGCACCTCCCAGCGGCTTCAAGTAGTTGGGCCACCCGCGCCCGCGCCAGCGCGCGCAGCCCCTGGCGGCGGAGCGCGGCGCCCGCCAGCGAGGGTCTCGCCGGCGCCCTCCGCGAGCGCCGCGAGCTCCCCCGCGCGCGCCGCCTCGAGCACCTCCCGCGGCAGCTCCCCTCGCGGCAGCCCGGGCGAGCAGCGGCGCCGTCTTGCCGCGGCTCGCCCCCGCGACCCAGCCGCGCGCCCAGCAGCCGGCGCCGCCAGCCAGGGAGCGCGCCGTAGTAGCATGCGCACCTCCTCCTGACCCCCCCTGAGCTCGGCGCCGGGCGGCGCGCGGGGCGGGGCCGGGCGCGTCGCCGCGTCGCCGCCGTCTGCCGCGCGCGGCGCCTATTCGGCCCGCGCCGCCGCCGCCGGCGCGCGAGGCCCCTCCCCGGCCGCAGCCGCCGCCTGCGCCCAAGGCACTCTCTGCTTGTCCGTCGTCTTCGGCGGCGCTCGCGGGGGTGGGCCGTTCGCGGCCGAAGCTCGCTGCGTGCCCCAGCATGATGACGCCAACCGCTCTCCCACGCAGTTGCTCTGCGCGCGTCGGGCCCGCCCCCCCGGGTCGAGCGAACGCGGCGCCAAGTCGAACGACAAGAGCATTTTCCGCCTGCCGACGCACCCCCGCGACGTCCTGGTCCTGCGAGCACCTCCAGCGCCTCGCGTCTCGCATTCGCCACTGCGCCGCGACGCCGGTCTGGGGCTCGCGCGAACGTGGGCGCCCCCGCACGCCGGGCAGACTGCCGCGCCAAATGCTGCCACCGGGCCCGGTCTGGGAGGGCCGTCTCACCCCAGGGCGCATGCGTCGGCGGAACATTGCGCCCCCCCCCACCTCCCCCTCGACCTCTCCCCCCTCCGATCCCCCTCCCGCCTTCGACAGCGAAGCGGGGCCCTCCCGCTCGGAGGGGCGAGGCCGCGGCGGACCGCGGGAGGCCGTTCGGGCCGCCGAGGGCCCACCCAGACCGAGCAAGCGAGGTGCGCCCCCTGCCCCCCTGCTGCCGCTGCCCACCCGCGTCGCGCTACTTGCGGGCTACGTTGGTCGAGCGGGCGCTGCGTGGAGAGGTCTCGGACATTCCGTGCCCACGCGTGTTTGGCGCGGCGCCTCGTCGCTGCGCGCCCGCGTCGCTCGTGGTGGAGCCGCCTTGCCAATGCACCTTGGACGCGCGCGGCCTCGCTCCGCCCCAGCCCTCAGCGCCTGCAGATGGCCGACACGGGCGCGGCCGTGGACGGGCGCGGCGAACGGGCTGGCCCCGCCCCCCTCAGCTGCGCCAGCTGCCGAAAGGCCGATGAGGGCGGCTCCTGGACGTGCTGAGGTGCCTGGGACCTTTCGCTCGACGAGAGCTCGCTTCGGCTCGTGCTCGTCGCGCTCCGCCCAAGGCCGGGCCGGCGGGCGGGGCCCGTCATCTTCTATTGCGTCCGGCAGCGGCCGTGGCAGAGGACGCGCCTGCCGCGGGCTGCCAAATAGGGGCGCGGGCAAACGGGCAGCCCCCCCCCACTGGGCCTGCGCGGCCGGGGCGCGCGGCCGCGACGGGGCGCGCCCGAAGCCTGCTGGCCGCGCCCCGCGCCCAGCAGGCCCGCGTAGCCGCGGGCGCCGCGGCTCTGGACATTAGCAAGCACTGCGCGCCATCGTCTCGCACGGCGTCCTGCCGAGGGAGGCGCGGGCCACGTGCTTCCCGCTGCCGCCGCTGAAGACGCCGTGCTGCGCCTGCCGCCTGCCGAGGCGCGCGAGGTTCGCAGGCGCCTTTGGCCTCGCCGCCCGCCCCAATGGCGCGACTGCCGCAGGATGCCCCTGCTCGCTCGGGCTCGGGAAAATTGTGGCCCACGCCCCCCTGGCGCAGGCGAGGTGCTTCCCGCCGGTGATGGCGCAGACGCTGGTGGGTGACCAGCTGCTGCAGGCGCTTGGCACCGTGGATCTGGCGGCCGCGCAGCTGACCGCCGCCCTGGGGCTTTCGTGGTGGAAGGCCTGCGCGCTCGCGAGTTGAAGGCCGACTGGGGCTAGACGGGATGGCCCGCGGCCAGCAGCGAGCTCGCGGCCCGCCTCGGAGCCGCCTGGGCCGGCGAGCCCGAGCGGAGCCGAGGCCTGCGATGCCTCGGCGGCGACGGCGGCGACGGCGCAAGGAGGTCCGTCGTTGAGCAGGACCAGCGTCTGGCCATGGCGCGGGGCGCGGACGCGCGCGCCCATGTTTTTTCGGGGAGCTGGCGCAGCGGTGGAGCGCAGCCACCGCGGCTCTCCAACCCGCGCTGCGATTTGGGGTTCGGCCGTCACTGGGCTGGCCGATCACAAGCTGCACGGGCCACAAATCGGCGCCCTCCATTCAGGTGGCCCGCCTCCTCCATGCGCGGAGCGAAGACATGGGCTGCACTGGAGTCACGGGGCCGTCTGGAGGGGCCCCGCAATGGCCCGCGTTGGCGAGGTTATGCATGCATGGACCATGCGCGTCGAGACCT